GCAATCTCGGTTGTGAAGGGGACTGACCGCGTCTCCTGCAGCCGACCGTCCGCCTTCACGTCCCTCCACACAGGCGAGTTGGGACATGTCGGGCACCCGGACACGTTCGCCATCTCACCCATCTCACGTCATCGGGACGGGTCCATCTCATCAAGACGGTCCGCGGGATGGTTCGTACTCGGGTACCGTTGCTAAGAGGTAGCCGGCTTCGCAGACACAATGGAGGAAATTGGCTCGTAGGGTGGCTGCCGCGGCGGCGGGATCCTCGATGGTCGCTGCCACTATTCAGGGTGTTGATGTCCGCGTTTTGGTTGATACGGTTCAAAAGAGGACATGCCATGGTCTGTTGGCGATGAGGCTTGGCTTCATTGCCCGCAGGTGCCTGTGGGCACCTCCTCCAAGCTCCACAAACCATGGCAGGGGCCGGTGAAAATTATTGAGGTTTTGCTTCCTCAGTGTGTTCGCGTTCGTCACGGCCGTCGGCTTTGATTTGTTCACCCGTCACGATCGAAGCCGTTTGTTGCTCCCATTGGGCCATCGTCATCTACAAATCCCGGGTTCCCGGTGCCTGACGTGGCCAACAGGCCTGCTGCCCCTGTGCAAGGTGATCCTCCGAAGTTTGTTTTTTTACCGCCCACAGCGTCCTTGAGTGAGACGGCAGGACCGGCGGACGCCGCTACCCCGCCATGCCCACCTGCGATGGTTCCGGCTGTGTCGCCCTCTACTGGACCACTGCTTCCACCTGCCGGTGTTCCAGTGTTGATCCCGCCTCAGGCAGATGGGCCGGCTACGTGGACACATTCCAAGATGTCGCAGTTTCTTGAAGCATTTGGGTTTTAACTTGCGTGTCTGTTCCTATTCCGCATTGTTGTTGTCTGGCATTGATTGTTGGAGCATTCCTTATTCTTCTTATTCCATTCTTGTTGTTGTTATGCTCAGTTGCTGATGGCGCTCCGTATTACGCTTTATCCTTCCTTAGCTTGGACGGCTAGATTTTTTTTCATCGGGGGGAGGTGATGTAATAAGAGAGCGCCATCTCCTGCATTATTGTGGGGGTTACATTACCTATCATACAGTCCACGGTTTATCGATAGTAGGGATTATATCTGGGGTAAAGGTGAATGGGTGGATCTACCAGGGAAGCCTCTGGAACGTTCCCGAAGGGCGTAGTCAGAGGCGGGGCTTAGCCTCCGGGGAGCGAATATAAGCCGGGGGTACAGCAGCGTTAGGGGTCAGTGTTTGAAGATCAAGAGGAGCTCCCCGTCGCTGCTGCCCCGCCATCTCCACCTGCCACGTGGCGGCTCGACCTCCACCCACTCAGCCGTGTGTTAGCGAGCGGGGTGAGCGCCATGTGGCGCGGGGCAGCGCAGCCACGAGAGCGGGTCGACAGCCGCGGCGAGAGAGAGAAGTGGCTGTACCGAAGATTTATCAATGAAACACTTTAAGTTACTTATCGTGTCGGAGCCACTCATTACAGCTTAATCAAGATGGTGATCATCCTCAAGAATTCCACGAAGATTGCAAGCTTCCCTGTATGTTTGACAGACAACTCCTTCCACTGTTTTGAGGTGTTGGAAAAATTTGGGCTGTTTGACAACAAGGAAAAGCATTCGGAGAAAGTAGCACTCCTGATTGTTGGGATGAACTGTGTAGACTCTTCATAAGGCATCAGATTCACCGTGAGCAGCACGTCACTTCAATTTTTTTTAGCACTCCATGTATAGTAGGAGGGAACTTCATGGTAGAGCAGGTTGGCAGCAAATGGGTCACTTTGGCACAAAACAAAGAACGCCATCAGGGTGGTATCTTGTGGTGGCAGGACCTGTTGTTGGGCATTTCCTTCGGTGAAGTAGATGCGTTGACCATTTTCGAGGTGAACTGCCAAATGGATGACTGTGGGGGAACGCTCATGGATGGGGAAGCCAATAATTCTCCAAATGATCTCATTGCTGCTGATGTATCTTCCTTGGACAAGATGTTTTACCTCATCCACACTTTGCCCCTCTGTGTTGTAAGGCAAATACAGCCATTTCAGAGCCTTTGTTGATGTACTGGCAACATATATGATGGCTTTCACAGAATTGCAGAATTCCACTTTAAAGTGTGCCTCGAAGATCTTTCACAGAAGAGGGCAGTAGGGAATGATCCACCGGTTGTGAACCTTCATTTGAGAGTTAGTGGCAGGTCTGAGCGTTGTTTCAAATCTACCATGCTCAGTATTTCTGCGACGATATAGAGGATGGCCATCATGGCCCGACTGAGTGTCTTTCAAGAAGTTCTGTGAATACTTCTTGGTACACCTGCGGTCTTGTATACATTGTGAATTTGGATAGAACTGGCCACATCAGCCATGGACCATTTGCTTGCAGACCACATAAAAAAGGGCAGGGTCTTGATAGGGGTCAGGTAGCTCACCACTGATAAATGTGTCAATGTCACTTGCATGATTTTTTTCCTTCATCCACAGAAAAATGTGAACATGAGGAAAACGACATTTTTGGCAAGTTACTGCTTGTTCCTTTTCAAAGACGCCGCCTTCGTTAGTCGTAATAAGCATCATGAGGTCATCAACTTTGAGTTTAAAGACCCTTGCATGTGTGTCTGTTGGCTTTTGGTTGGATAAAGCTCAATCTGAATCTCCTTCCATTTCACATTGCAAGTGAAGGTGATAAAGAGATGGGGCCTGCCATATTGTCTGATGTACGTCATGGCATCCTGAGTCTTCTCATGCATGTATCTTGGTCCAGCTGTGAAGGATGAAGGCAAAAAAACGAATCTGGCCACATTGTGAGCGTTTACATCTCCGTTGGCATTGATAGAGTCCACGAGATGAGCATACTGTTCAACACGCAGGCGTTTTTGATTCAGTTGAATGGAAAGAATGCACTCACTCTCAATTTTGGCATACTCATCGACAACATACGGGTGAAAGAGGTTGGCGCACCGTAATATGTGGTTTCCTCCGCTGTCCATGATCATGAAGGAATGGAAGTCTTTAGAGGAGACAGTTTTGTGAGGATGTGTTTGTCCTGTAGCTTTGATAATTTGAGGACTCTGGACGTGGTACCCGTCTTGGCCTTGCGACAGTAAAATGTGGTATTGTAGGGCATCATATGCTCTGTTTGTCTCAGGAAATCGTTTGATGGTGTTGTCTTGGTATCGAAGCACAATGTCTCTCTTACCATGCTCCTCACCCACCGTAAGAACAGCAACCTCAACAAAAGTTGGGGCATCGAAGCTCCCTGCGTGCTCCCCGCTTGGGTCGAAAGAAACGGTGCAGTACACCAAATGTAAAATGGTTGATTTGCCCACAAATGTAACAAAATGATAGACCAAATAAAATCGGCTGTAGCTAAGAAAGTCCAACGTATTTAGCAGTATAACATAGAAATCAACATCGCAGTACCACATATCAGTGAAGAGCGTGAGGTGAGCAAACGAAACAATAGAAATGCATTGAAGATATAAGCTAGAATAAGTCTACATTATAGAGCAGCAGTACGCACACTTAAGTTAATAAGCAGGCACCAGTCTACATTATAGACTGGCAGTACGCTGACTCAATGACCTAAGCATTGCTGCAGTCGACATAATAAGCTGGCAACACGGTCAGCAGCTTAAAAAGCAGGATACAGTCTCCATGAAAGACTGGCAGTACACTGAGCGAGGTGAAGAAGCAGGCAACAGATTACCGACTGGCATACACTCACCCTGGCCAGTAGCAATGTTTACAGTGTAGATAATAGACTGCCAGTCCACTAACTTTAATTAATAAGCAGGCAAAAGGCCACATGACAGACTGCCAGTAGACTGGTGCGGCTTCATAAAAGCACACGTTAATATTTTAATATGTTGCAACTTAAAATTGAAATATTAGTTGTCTGCACACAAACATTATTAATGTAATATGCAGGTGTCAACACACAAACATGATTAATTTATTATTTGCAAAGTAATTTTTTTGTACACACACATATATGGACTCATGCAAACACACACGGACATACACACGCTAACATCGTCGCAGACACATACATGGACTCACACGCACATAAGGACTTAGGAAAAATAATAAATACATTTTTATTTACTAAGTAAATGTAGTAATATTAGTTGTGAGCACACAAGCAAAAAAAATGTAATATTTGCAAGGTGATTATTAAAATAATAAGTTTCTATGTACGTGAGTTTAGCGAAAGAAGCAATAAATATTCATATTAGTTGTCTGCACATAAACATGATTAGTGTAATTTTTGTAAGGTGATTATTTAAATGAAAGGTTTCTATGTACGTGAGTTTAGCAAAAGAAGCAAGAAAAAAGTACTTAACATTGTCGTGGTGAGGCCTAGGCCCATGCAGAGCCCCTGGCCTCGCCTAGATTGCCCAGCCGGCCGAGGTGGCACCTTGGCAGGCTGGGGGCTAGGCCGCTACCCCCCCCCACCATCCCTCCGCCCACGCTAGAATTATACTATGTAAGCACTATAATATTAATATCTACGATTCTATAGTAGTAAGTGCACACATTGGGGTGGGGCGGGGGACATGAAACTTTGAAGAATTTACCTCAGCGTTTATTTGCATAATGAAGGCGAAAGATAAATCTCCCCCCTCCACCGATGACGCGCGTGCGTTGCCAGGGGCAACCCCCGGGCGGCCGAGTGGCGGAAAAAATAATTAAACAAAGATACATCAATATACAGGCATCGTCAGAATCAGGATCACACCACAACCTCCTGTATACAGGCGAGGTAGTTAACATCTCGCCACCATGGTGACCTGGTAATAACCAGGGCGGCCGCTGGATATCGAACCGCAAACCTCTGTAACAAGTGGAAAACGTGCTACTGCTAGGCCACCATGTCATCACCTCAAACTATTATCATTATTGTCTTCTGTGCCAGCCTTAGAGGTGCTCATGAACAGCACTTTTCCCTCACAACTTGTGAAGCAAATTGTCCTTATTCATGTTTGCACTTTGCTTCCGTACATTTTTAACTCACCGTGTCAACATTGTACTCCTGTGTGCTCCCGGTGAGCAGGTCTACAATGGCCAGCGCTGGTGGGTATGCGGAGTGGATGCCTACGCCGCCCACCAGCACCAGCCGCCTCTCCTCTATCACGTGCGCCGTGTGCGAGTAACTGCAACAAAACCGCCCGAGGCAAAAATCACATACGGGACACGAGAAACAACAAACACAGCCCTCATCTTGAATTGTAAATGGTTGCCGTTTGCTGTTAAAAACGCCACACAACCTTCCGTGGAATGCAGGGGAGGAGCAACAGCAGCAGTCGTGGGAGTGCATGATGTGGTCAATAATCATAATAATTTACAGCCCTTTGTCAATCCACTGCTGGAAAATAGGCCTCCCATTGGAACATTGGCCAAGGAGGTGTTTTTTGTTTTAACCATACTTTACCACTCTGGTCAGTGTAAGTTGACGTGCGGCAGAACCATATATTAATCGCCACTGATGTTGGATGTGGCGAGGAAAATCGATATCAGCTCGGCGGGTTTATAGAGCATTTTAAACGAGGTGTACAATTTTTTTGCCCGCGTGAAAGCCATCCAACGAGTGGATGAACCGGTCACATTGTGAGGTGCGTGCAATGGCATCGAGTGTGCAGGAGGTGGAACTGCACTGGAGTCCACGGTGCCAGAGGGGTCCAGGCACCGTGCAAAGGGAGCACGTGCCAGCCGCGCACGCCACCCCGCGCAGGTGCCGTTGTGGCGCTCACCGCGGCGTGATCGGATGGCGCAGGGGCAGCTGCCGCCACGTGAAGCCCTCGTGCTGTGCCGCTGGAGACAGGAGGTGGACGCAGCCCAACGGAACGAGCGCCGCGCCCAGCCCGCCCGCCACCACCGCCCCCTCTCCGAAGCCGCACGCCGCGTGCGAGTGTCGGCCCTCGGGCCGGCTCCCGGACACGGGCAGCTTCACACGTTGGCGCACACACGCAAAGACCCCCCCACAGAGCTTTTAACAAGGCCGTCGGGACGAGTGCTTACGGCGAGCACCTACTAAGGCCGGCAGCGCACACGAAGGGGGGTGGTCGGCGAGCATCACGTTCCGCTGCCTTTGATACCCCGGTGCTGATGTTCACGCACCGTAACAGGTACTCGTTTAAGGCCGAGTCAACCTCGGGGAGGCCCAGGACAGACTCAGAAATTTGTCACTGCTGTTGGGCATGAGCGGGACTCAAAAGCGGGTTGCTGGATTCGCAGTGTAGTGCATGTTAACCACTGCGCTACCGCTCCCCACATGCATGCACACACAAACACACCACACACGCGCGGACCACAATTGTATAATTGCGCACGCACACACAGAGTCTACTGCTCACACAATCACTCTCAACACTCCGTGGTGTCTGGTAGCTTGCACCTCTGTGGCATCACGTTGTGCGATGACCTAAGTGATGCCTATAACTGAATGGACCTGAATGCGCCCGATCTCGCCAGATTCTGAAAGTTACGCAGGTTTGAGCCCGATCGGTGTTTGAAGTGATGACCACGTGTAAGGCTGCAGGCTGATGTGGGGCTACACTGCCAGCAGAGCCGCTAAATCTGTTGTGCCGCACTATGTTCCGACGTCTGTGTGCCTCGTCTTCACCGACATGCATTGACCAGTGTAGTGAAGTATGGCCAATCAACCTCTGCGACCCGCAGGGCAGAGGGAGGGCCCTCATCCAGTACTGGAATGACGCAAGGGCTGTACCCATGCCTGTTGTACATTGTCAAGAGTGGCACTTTTTTCAATGTGTGTAATCATTTAGTGGCCTGCGGGCTGCGATGTAAAGAGTTCCCCTCCCCCCTGGCTTTGCTCACCTGAGTCCAGGTGAACGCCTCTAGATCCAGGAAGTGCCAGTCACTGAGAACCAGGTGCTGGGTGTCCCTCCCTCCGTAGACAAACAGGAAGCGTCTCCCTGACAGACAAGACAGTCGTGCACTCACAGCCCAACCTGAACTACTTATCCTTGATGTTAACAACAAACGATGAGCTGACAGCTGTGTCAAAGTACGAGCACCATTAAGATGGTCACTGCATCGCGTGCTTTTGGATGTGCTTCTGCGGCAATCTGGAACACTCTTCCTTCCGATATTAGGAAGCTACTTGGACTATGCACCTTTAAATCATCTAGATTGAAAACTCATTTATTTAAAACTGCTTTTTGCATTTATTCTGTAGTCCTTCCCCCGCACCCGCAATTAGCAACGGTTGGCTACATACGGTGCTAAAGAAGTTCAACATGCATACAAAGTGGCCGAACGTACATCTTTAAAATCCGCAGAGAGACAAAGTCACCGGAGCCGGGGCTTGGAAAAATAAGAGTCGCAGCGAAGAGGATCCCTCGCTCCCTCACCTCGGCAGCTCACCACGCATGCCGCGTGCCTCCAGCGTGGAGAGGGGGCCGCGCCGATGCATGGCACCTCGGAGAGCGCGAGCGATGGCGCGGCGCTGCCCGCGTCGCCCCCGAGGCGCGCCAGCCACACGTCCGCGCAGGGCCTGGCGGGTGAGCGCCGCCCCCCGAACAGCACGGCCTCGTGGGCCGAAGTGGCCGTCAGCGAAGGGTACATGCGTCCATCTGCACGTGGCGGTGGCGTTGGGACGGAAAAACAATACGCCGTGAATTCTTGAGCACAAGCAATGATGCCCCGTCAGGCACGCGCGCTGATGCCGCAGTCATGGCAGCAGAGGAAGAATGCATGTTTTGATGGAAGGGCAATTTTTCTGCATATCTCTTGAATAACAATACACCCCACTCGTGCATGCTGGCGCGTGTGTAAATTCCACGTTCCTTTTGCAGGAAAACCACTGTTGACCACTGTTCACTTCGCGCAGAGTGGTACAAATTTGTATTGACCCTGGACAGATGATAAAGTGAGTAAAATGTAATGACAATCGGGTGGAGCGCCGGTGTAGTGGTTCACATATTAACCCGGCAACCTGAGTTTGATTCCTGGTCACAGCTAACATCAGTGGTGAGTGACATCAGAACCTGGGCCTCCTCTTCACCAAACGGCATGATCAAGCATCCCATATTACCGACGCGGTACGGGGGAGGCTTTCCTTTGCTCTTCATCCAGCAGTCGGATTGACAAAGGGTCGTTAAAGACAATAACCAACAATCACAGCTCACCCCACTTGGGTCCAAAGTCTTTGGTCACCACCGCGCCGGGCGGCACCAGAAGCCAGGCCCCGGTGAGACGCCCGTGCCGCCCATGCCGTGGCCCGAACCCGCCTAGCGTGAGCAGGGCGGCCCGGCCAGCGGGCGGCCCCAGCGTGCAGGAGCGGTGGCCGTAGCTGGGCGGGAGGGCCAGGGCTGCCTCGCACGGAGACAGTGACAGCACGGGCAGCTCGCGCTCCTCCTCACTGCTGACAAAGCCTGATGATGCCGAGGGAGAAGAGGAGAACTGACGGCGAGGGAGACGGGGGTCAGGGGTCGCCGTGCACACGCATGAGGAGGGCCCCGGCTCCGTACCGCACTGCCGCCGGTGGCTAATGCTCGATTCGGCCGTGGGAGTATTATCCAGGTCGTGGGTGGAACCGTGCTTGCACTGGTTCAATACTCATGCGCTATTCCGCGCATGTTGCGAGTCGGTGAATCAGCACTCCATGCGAACACAAACACGTTGGCCAGAAAACCGACTCATTTGAGAAGCAATAATCGCAGACGACACATGCTATGTCTACACCCGACTCCAAGAAGATAACAAGAGAAATATTTTTTATTGTCAAGTTTACGCTTGTTTTGCCTTATCCAAAAGTTTAGATTTTTTTCTGGGCCACCCTTCCCTATCTTTACACCAGACAATAAAAATTGGCTGTGCCACAATGTCTCCCTTCTGTGGTCTCAGACTACATGTACTATTTATTTTGTATGGATGCCAATAATTATTTTACTATTATAGTATGGAACAATGGCTTTGTAAGTATAGCAATTATAGTGCTGCAACGTGTTATCGTGATTATATATCTATGTACTGAATGTATTTATTCATGAATTCACCCGTGAGACAAATGAACATCTGCTTAAGTTGGTTAACAAAGAGGGCTTGCACAGTCAAGGATAAATACGATCGCAGACAAGAGCAATTTCACCATGTTTCAGCGAAGCGCTGGGAAGGCGACCTCAGGTCATGGCCCATGTCCACCGGCTGGGTGTAAGGAGCTACCTGACGGCGGGGGCAGAACGGGCTCTGAGCTCAACCTTCCTTTGGAGGCGACCAGGATGAAATAATGGGAGCATTTCAAGTGCCACTCCTGAAAAACAAAGAGGTTTTTTTTTTTTCACCAAACAGGAAATCAGGGGTCACGTGGGCTTGGTGGCTCGGGGCGCCGAGACCCCCGGCAGAGCGATGAGGATAAAACTTTTCTAAATAGCAGGGAACGATCGCTTGGTAAATCGCTGCGTAAACTACTGGGGGGTAAAGGACCGGCTTTTTTGGGGTGAATTCGAGACTTAATGATTCACCTCAATTTCATAAACGGTTTCAGAGTTGTGAGTTGATACAAGAACTTATTTTTTTCGTTGGTCAAACGTTTCACTCTTCTTGGCATCGGTTCTCAAATGTTGTTGTCGCGCTTGCAGAGTTTGTTCCGTTCGACGTAACGGACCATGAGCGTATCACTTGCATAACCCTGCCAACAACTGATCTTTACACATGCCAATCAGAGTGCAATCACCGGTGTCTTATTAGTCCTCTGCCAAGCAGCAGGTCCGTAACTAACACTTCCTCCATCTTCCCCCCCTTCTTCCCCTGCAACTCCCTCTACTCCCTTACTTAAGTTCTTATTGCCTCACCTTCCCCTCCCCACGTAAAATTACACGCACCCCGCTCGCGGTCCCCACTCGGTGCGGCAGCAGCGAGCCCCCAATCGCCCCCCTCCTCTAAACTCAGGAGCGCAGCGTCGGGACTTATACCCGTGCAGATTCTGTATCCTCCCCACCCCTCATGTCGTGGTTTGTGCTCTGTACCGGGCTCCTACTTAAATATAAAAACATAAAAATCTAAAAAAAATTCCTCCTTCCTCTTCAATCGTGAGCTTCCTTCTTTATTACACAATGCCCCCCTTCTGCTCTCCCTCCCACTGCCTTCAAGTCCGCCAAGCAAAATTAATATTTTTTTCTTCCTCTGCCCCTTGCCCACCATCCCTTCCTTCCAGAACCTCCTCGAGAGCTTGACGATTGATGGTGACAACCGACGAACCGGCGGTGTACCTCGTGCTCGTCAAACAGCTCCAGGTGCTCCACCCTCGCGCGCTCCTGCACGGACAGCACGTTCAGGTAAAACTCGTTCATGTCCACGCTCTCGCACCTCTCCCAGCCCTACGCAGGGGAGACACGACGGCAGGAGACGGCGTCGTCCAGCCAACGCACGAACCATCGTTTTTTGTGGGATGCCTGTGCAAATTTACCACCCTTCGGCAGTATTAACAATATTATCCCTCTCCGATAAAGCATACTCCAAAGCTCGGCTAAGAGCAATTACGGAACATTGGAAGTCATTACGTCTATTTCCGGAAGTATTAAGGACACTAATGGATTCAACAGAGATTTCTCTCGAGGGAAGGCAACGTATATGCCGCGCTAAGGTCAACACTTGTTAACTGCTCTCTGTAAAGCCCGCTTTTGAGCATCAAGTGGACAAATTATGACCAGTTAACCGGTGTTGAACTTGAAATTACACACACGCTAGGAGGGACCTGAAACTCAACTAAAGACACTTTTGCATGCCCTATAAAATAATGTGGACAAAATCCATCGAATCTTTAGCCAGATTCATGGTTTGGCAAAAAAATCTAATGGCGTGATCTTTTGCGGACAAACAAACACATCTGGAAAACGGCGCAAATGTCTCCCTTCTATCCACTGAGCGTCAAAAGAAATGTCTCATCCATTCACATGTAATTAATAATAACAATGCAATTCACAACACGTGCAATATTTCACGTGTATAAATGACGGTGACTGAGGCTCAGAGACAATTTCAGTGTTACTCGATAGCCAGGCGAGAGGGGTTGGTGCCTTTAAGCACCTATTAAAAATCCATGCAGAACGAGTCCAATAAGAATGACAAGTTCACTCAGCGCATGCAGGTTATTATATTTAACGGTTCTGTTTGAGTATAGTCTCTCACCCGCACTTGCATTTTCTTCCTCTCCTCGCCTAAAAATACCACGTTCAAAACGGTTACCCCTACATGAGTGCGGCCGTGCACCCAACCACCGTACCCCTTACCTCATGGACACCTGACCCCGTGCTTGCTGTCCACAAAATACCTGTACCCCTTTCCCCTATCACTTGTGCTTCGTTCAATATATTGATTTTCAATGTATGTGCAAACATACAAAAAGTCCATGCGGATTTAACGCTGCTGAAAATGTCCAGTGGGACGGGCGTTACAGACGGCGGGGCTGCCACTGAGAAACGATATCTGGACAACCTCCACCGCCCCCCCCTCCCCCCCACCACCGGCCCAGCCACCCTCCCTGGCTACCCTGTGTCCCTTGCGAGTTGCCGTAGAGCTGATGGAGGCACCTGGCTCAGGTATCGCGCGTGCTGGGCGTGGCGCGTGGGGAACCGGCGCAGCGCTCGCAGCGGCGACCCGAGTCGACTGAAGTGGTTCATCATGACGGAGCCGAAGCCGTCGCCCGGGTGGGCCTGCTCGTACGCGACAAACGTGGCCGCCACCAGCCGCTCTGCCGCCCAGCCGATGAGGGCCGAGGCTCTGCGCACAGTGGGCGGGAATGACGGCAGGCGCCGGAGATGCCTACGATCGCAAAAATCGCACTTTGCGTTGGAGAGCCAATGCTGGTGGTTTTAGTTCTTTATCAAAATGTACCAAGCCTATGGCCATATCACCCAGAATGCACCCAACCGTGTCACATCTCAGAAGCTGTCCACAGGCTTTACCTGGATAGTAGTTGGTTAGTGCGGTTCTAGCTCTGTGTAAGTGTGTGTGTGTGTGTATGGATTTTGGATCCATGTGTGAGTGTGGATTTTACTATCTGTGAATGATTGCTCACTCTTGTGTGTACGAGTGTGGTTCTGGATCTGTGCACGAGCGTGGATTCTGGATCTGTGCACGAGCGTGGATTCTGGATCTGTGTGTGAGCCTGGATTCTGGATCTTGCCTGAGCGTGGATTCTAGATCAGTTAACGGTGGCTCAAACTGTGTGCATGTGAACATGGATTCTGGATCTGTACGCGAGCATAGATTCTGGATTTGCATGTGACAGCGCGGATTCTGGATCTGCGCGTGTGTGAGCGTCGATCCCGGATCTGTGGCCGCACCTGTTTGCGTCGACGTAGGTGAGCACACACTCGGACAGCAGCAGAGTGGGGGCGGCAGGGTCGAAGCCGGTGCCCACCAGCGACTCCTCCAGCTCTCGCAGCTGCGTCACGTCCACGCCAAGCAGACAGTAGTCGGCGCTGCTCACGCACAGGCCTCGCCAGACCCGGGGGGGGGACACATTAAACCCTCGATACCACCGCGGTGTAACGGCCGAGCACACTCGACTTGGAATCCAGAGGTCGCTGGTTCCGTCTTGCGGTGTGCCAGTTGAAACGACGGGCAAGTTTCAGTCCACCCAGCAGTATAAATGGGCACAGCACAGTTAGTCGATTGGCAAGGTTTAAGTTTGTTTTGTTAACCAGGTGTCAACTCAAGAGACGAGGACAGTGTCATCTCAAAAAATGACCTGGGCCAGTAAGGGGCAATGATTGCTATGTATCATCCCGAGTTATTTATTGTGTAATTTTCAAATTTCGGCCCCGACGCCCGCACATAATGGCCTACTCTTGCGAATGACATAGCCCGATCTTTAACGTCCACAGTGAAGTAGACGGTGTGTAGTATTATCATGGTTAATACACCATGGTATTAATACACCATGGTATTAATACACCCACAGTATTTATACACCCACAGTATTAATACACCCACAGTATTAATCAGGGTGGGCGATGGATTCGAACCGTGAACCTCTGCAACAAGCGGCAAAAGTGCTATAGCTAGGGCCATTTTACCACCCATGGTGGGGTAGAGTGTGGGTATTCCCACCTCTTCAAAGACATCTTGCATTTCTGTGAGGTCCTGGGGGAGGGGAAATCCCTCAGCCAGGAAAACGTGGGACAAAGTGGGGATGACCCTGCTGAGGCTGCGGTGCCTCAAATATTGGAGGAGGAAGTCACCCCCTGTGAGTGGCTGGCTGAGGTGCCATCTGTTGAGGAAGTACTGAAGGCGATCCAGAGTCTGTGACCAGGAAATGCACCGGGCAGAGATGATCTTCCAAGCGAAATGCTGAGGGAGGGTGGCGTTTGTGCACAGACTGCCCTACATAACATCATAACAATAGTCTGGACCACTGGATGGGTTCTGCAAGATTGGAAGGATGCCCTGGTGGTCCCCCTCTTTAAAAGGGGGACCGCACAGACTGTAACAACTACAGGGGCATCTCACTCCTCAGTGTGCCAGGAAAGGTCCTCGCAAGGATTACTCAACATCGCCTTGCTAGGCACGCTGAGGAGAGGCTTGCAGAGCCTCAATGCGGTTTCAGAAAAGGGCGGTCCTGCACAGATGCCATATTTTCTGTCCGTCTGCTACAGCAGAGGTGCAGCGAATTCCAACAAGACCTACATTTCTGCTTTATTGACCTGGTCAAGGCCAATGATACCATCAGTAGGCCTGGGCTCTGGGTTGCTCTTCGTGCTTTCGGAGTCCCTGACCCTCTGCTCATGGTCATTAAGGACCTTCATGATGGTGAGCGGGCCCGGGTAAAACTACGTGGTCGGGAGTCGGAGTCATTCCCTGTTCACCTTGGGGTGCGACAGAGATGTCCTCTGGCTCCCACATTATTTAACATCTTTTTCGACCACGTAGTCCATGAAGCCTTTGATGGCTGTACCAGAGGAATTTCCATCTGGTACAGATACAATGGGAGGCTGATCAATGCCCGGGTGCGGTCAAGGGATGGCTCCCTATTGGTCAACCACGTTACTGTATGTATGCCGACGACCTGGTAATTGCAGCTCACTCAGAGGAGGAGTTAGAGGCGCTGCTGCTAAAACTGGAGTGTGCCACTAAGAGATGGGAGCTTACCATCAGCTCCACCAAAACGAAGCACCTGCCTGGGTATTTTGTACCATCGGGCACTCCACCCCCACAACTCCCAATCGGTGATGGGGCAGTTGTGGAGAGAGTGGAGTTTCCCATACCTGGGCAGTGTGCTCATGACTTGCTCCAGTTTAACAGCAGAGGTCTCACTCCGAATCAATCGAGCGGCATTATATTTTCATCAGTTGCATAACGCTGTGTGGAAGCAACCTGGTCTGTCGCTCCGCACGAAGCTTTGGGTCTTCTCGGCCAGTCATTCCGTCCCTTCTCTACGCTTGCGAAACGTGAACCCCCCTAATGGAACATCTTCGCTGGTTAGAAACATTTAGGCTGGCCTGCCTACGATCAATCCTGGCCTTAACCAGGCTGGATTGTGAGGAGCTCACAAATCCTCGAAAAATCTGGACAAAGTCCCATCGGTGAGCACCTCCGGCAGGCAAGGCTGCGTTGGCTGGGCCATGTAGCCCGCATGCCCAATCACCGCATGCCCAAACAGCTTTTGTTCGGCCGGATCGAGGGGGCTAAACGGGCGCGGCACAGGCTAGAGAAGAGATGGAGTGACGTGGTACAGGAGGATGTGGAGCTGAGTGGACTTGCCGATGACTGGTACCAGTGGTGTCAAGATCAGCCTCTGTGGAGGAGGCTCGTGAAGGACGCTACTGGGCAGTTGGAGGCAGTCGCCCTCCAACAATAACAGAGGGCGGAGGAGCGACGCTCACAACAACGAGCAGAGCGCCGGGTGGCTAAAGCACAGCAAATTGGCACAGTAGGGGGCACAGGTGGTGCATCAGCCAGTCGTCTCGGTCATCTCAGTCAGTAGACCTGTGGCACCTGGGTCTGCCCCGTGACCTCCTGCCAGCGGGCGTTCGACACTTCACGTGGCCTCAAGGTGCACATGGCCTGGCACAAGCGTCTCGGTGACGTCACCGCCACTTAGTGGCAAATGTCGGTTGTTGTTGTATGTATGTGTGTGAGTTGATGTGTGTGTGTAAGTCGATGTGTGTGTGTGTGAGTCCATGTGTGTGTGTGTGAGTCCATGTGTGTGTGTGTGAATCCACGTGTGTGTGTGTAAGTCGATGTGTTTGTATGTGTGGGTCGATGTCTGTGTGTAAGTCGATGTGTGCGTGTGTCTTTTTCGCCAGGGCAACACAAGCTACTTCCCGCTAGTTTCATATAATTTGCTAATTATTTGCATAAACGGTATATTACTGTTACTCATAAATGTGATTGATTGCGAGTATCGTGAGGCAAAGAATCCATATAATTGCTCAATTGCTATGTGTCTCCTTGTCACTACTGGCCATGTCACGACTATTACCACTCATGGTATGTACAGCTCTTTGGCAATACACTGCTGAATGAAGGCCTCTCCATGGCATGTTGGCCGTTGGGGTTGTTTTACCATATTTCACCATTGCTGGCCAGTACAGGGCGTTGAAGGGGGAAGAGTGTAGGACCATTTCAGATATTACTTGCCACCGATGGTGCACGTAGCTAGGAATAGAAATCAGGTAGCCGGGTTTTTCGACAGCAGCACGCTAACCACTGTGCCACTGCTCCACCCATTAGCCAATACCACCGACTCAAGTGTTAGCCAATTAAGAACGGCACAAATTTCCAATGTACTTACGAATTATGATAACATAATGGTTTTGAACGTAGTGGGAAGCACTTGGGAAAGTTGGACTGCTGTGGTGGGAGGCTGCGTTCATAGAATCTACCTCCCCTAGGATGCAGGTTGGTCGTGCGTTCGATCCCGAACCCTGACGCCCGTATATTTGGAGCTTGCACGCACTCTCTCATGATCGCGTGGATTTTTCTCCGATGCGGCCCCAAGTCACCTTTTGGCAGAGAAGGGTCGCCAGGCTTAGGAGTTTCATCGCCGGACTCGGCTTCATTAAACCGCACCCGGCCCGGGGAGAGCAGCGCGAGCAGCTCGGGGCTCTGGCGGATGAGCGTCGCCTTCCTCCGCGCGACGGCCGGGAAATCCACCTCAAACACCACGGCCCGGCCCAGCCGAGCCTCCGACTTGAGTCGGAAATAAGCAGTGTCGAAGCCGGCGCCCAGCGACACCATCTGCTCGCCCCGACGCCGGCCGGGGAGAGGTCACGGCGAGCGCAGAGCCGGGCCCCCGAGACCGAAGTTGTGTTGCAGAGATGCAGGGTGATCCATTTGTAAATACCCCACCGATTTAAAACGATGCCCCTCGCACTTCTTTCGTGACAGGCAATTAAATGTTGCGGGAGCAATGGCTTAATGCCCAACGGCAGAGAGTCGTTGAAAGCATTAATACGCCGATGGAAGACGCGCAGAGGCTTTGAAATTAAATGTTCTCTTTTCTCTAATTGACCCTCAACCCCCCCCCCCCATTGATTTTAGTGGGGTACCTATAAATAGTTCACCCTGTATACTTGTACACGTACACAGGCCCTTTGTCAGTCCAATGCTGGCGGAGGAGCCACCACATGCCACGTGGATTGTGGCGGTCGTTTTATCGTACTTCACCACGCCGGTCACTGCGGATTGCTAAGGGCCGGCGGAAGCGTAGAGCAACACGGTACAACAATGGACTGTTTTTCTGCACTACCCTCTGCTGCAAATCACGTACGTATACTGCGAGAGAAGCAACCGAAAGCGCCCAGATGAAACTTGCCTTGTAAACAGTGTGTAGAGGTCATGTTTTCTTGTTCATGTTTTTTTGTTTGTTGCGGTTGCACCCGATTCAAGAGCCGAATGGCTCACAGGGCTATACCAAAATAAATGAAACTATGAAACTATGAACATAGCCGCACACGGTGCCCGTGTCCAAACGTTTTCAATGCACGACCAAATCGTCGCAAAGAAGCGAGCACCTGTGTCCTCGGCTCCGCTCGTGTCCGCTCCAGGAAGCAAGTCAGGACGTAATCCACAGCTTTGGCTCTGATGTAATAACCCCTGCGTGCACACACACGGACAAAGATCCCCCGTATAGTCTTGAAGAGACCGTTGGGGAAAGCGCTGTTAGCGAGCACCTATGAAGGCCGGCACAGAGCGCGAAGGGGTGGGTGGCCAGCACCATGCCTGGCCGAGCATGTCTCCCCAGTGGCGATGTTTACACATCGCACCAGGCGCTCATTCACACATCGCACCAGGTGCTCATTCACACATCGCACCAGGTGCTCATTCACACATCGCACCAGGTGCACATTCACACACCGCACCAGGTGCTCATTCACACATCGCACCAGGTACTCATTTGAGGCTGAGTCGACCTAGTGGAGGCCCAGAACCGATTCAGATAATCGTCACCGGTGTTGGACGTGAGCGCGAATCGAACTCAAGTCGCCGGGTTCATAGTGCAGCGCGCTAACCGTTGCACTCCCACACACGTGCACACACGTGCGCACACACACGTGATGACGCCATCATCAACACGCAAGGCACAGGAGGCAGAGGCAATGTACGGACAGCAGGGCCCTTCTTAGGTGAGCAGCACTGGCAAGGTGAGCGGGGCTGGCAAGGTGAGCGGAGCTGGCAAGGTGAGCGGGGCTGGCTGGGCGAATGGGGACCCCCACCTATTGATGAGAGGGGATCGCCGCCGCTGCCGCTGGGCTTCGCAGATGAAGTGTGCGAGGAGCTGGTCCTGCACGTATCCGGCTGTCGCCATGGACACCTTGCTGAGGATGCTGCTGTCATTGGTCCCTTGCACTCGCGCCTGCGGAGAGACCGGCATCGCCGCCGAGTGGCGTCGTAGTGCGAACAACACCGGCGCTCTGCATGGATGACTGACTCACGTTTGAATCACGAAGCAGATTGCTTACTGCTGCTGCACAATCCAGGACTCTGCTCTGTTTCACAAGCTGCCGCTCGTGTTAGCAGCGTAATTGTTGCTGCTGCCACTGCATAAGGCACCGACCTAAGTTCTCTAGCAAGCGGATTGTACCATCGCAATCGGTGACCAATTACGTCTGCACCCACTGGTAGTCGTGAAATTCACCACCGTGCCGCATTCGCGCTCCCAACTCGTCGTCTGCCTTTGTGGTCTCACGCCCGCAGTGCTTCTCAACAGGTTTCACTCCACGGCACGCAGTCTCGAGCTCGCTCGATCTCTGCGGCACACCGGATCGAAACGTCACTGTGGGCCCGGGTTGGTGGGTGGGTGACGGGTTGGTGGGTGGGTGACGGGGTGGTGGGTGGGTGACGGGTTGGTGGGTGGGTGACGGGTTGGTGGGTTGGTGTGTGACGGGTTGGTGGGTGGGTGGGTGACGGGGTGGTGACGGGTTGGTGGGTGGGTGACGGGTTGGTGGGTGGGTGACGGGTTGGTGGGTGGGTGACGGGTTGGTGGGTGGGTGGGTGACGGGGTGGTGGGCTGACAGCTGTCTTCTGCCGTCCCGCACGCGGCACGACCAATTTAATGGGGAGGGTGGGATATGTTTTTGGGGGGGGCGGGGGGGGATGAGTGGGGGGGGATAGATCGGCCACTGAATGGCACGGAGAGTTCGTCCGTCCTCGCCTGCTGTGAGGTTCTTTCCTTTAAAATAAATTAAATTCCCAAAATACCGCGGGCACGCCGGGGACTTTACCACCGCAAAGCGCTTGCTTCACAGCTGGTGGTGAAGTCACACATGATGCGAGCGCAGTCACACCCGGATGGAGTTGAGAAATTAACACTGCTGCGCTTTGCCCTTGTCAGCCCAATGTCAATCAACCGGCTTCAAAGGAAGATTGGCATGCTAGTCATCACCATTTAGAGCCTCAAGTCCTCTTCACTTAACTTGCAATGTAAGAACAATTGGGTTTGCGTGGTTATTGTGGGGGGGGGGGGACGACTCAACATCAACAACAGTTTGCAATGCAAATGCACGATTTTAGTCACCCATTCATTAAATTTCAGCCGTTTGCAAATCCACTGCCGGATGTAAGTCTCGCCACGCCGTATCGTTCATCGCTGGCATTGGTTTGGGCCATACTTTAGCCGCAGCTTATCACCGACCGTCGCCGCAGCTAATCCGCGTGCACGTATTGTGGGACGGCACGGGAATGATGGTGCCGCCTGTGTGGGCTAGGACGAGGCGTCAGGCTCGAGTCAAGATGTCAGGAGCAGGAGAAGTTCAGCACAACAGTGGCATTCGCGACACTGCCCTCTGCGCGCGGACGACCGACACGCAGCCCAGAGTTGTTCTGTCTTCTGATCTGGCGACTTCTGCGAAGTTTGGAAACGTGTACATTTAACATTAACGCGCGCTGCGAGACTTTGACGAATGGCGAGAACGAAACAATGCAAAACGCGGGGACGATTAAAAACGAGACTCGATTCTTCATTGAAAAACCGCGCGACCTCCGGTCGGCATCGTCACTACGAGTGGAACCCCCCTCTCCCCCCCCCCCCACGTGGGGTTAACATTGGTTGGCTTCATCATTATCGGCGGTCCGCTCACTTGGGCTGGCTCACATGGTCTCTCGCCCTTCTCTTTGCTTTGGGACACTTTGTTTGCGCCGGGGCTTCTTTGGTGACGATAGAAAAAGAAGAGACGTGCCGACGATCGCGACCAAACTGCTGACGACGCTGCTGACGGTCGCAACGGAGTTGATCAACAGTCCACCACGTGGCACGGGCGAGCAACTGCGGCAGGGGTGCGCACGACGCGTCGTCCGACGTCGACCATACCGAGGCGCTCTCGTGTCGCATGGTGGACCCCCAGAGGGGCGGCTGAGACGCGCGGCGTTAACGATCGAGAGTGGTGATGGTGGGTGGTGGTGATGGTGGTTGATTAAACGCAAGCTATTCCTCCCTCTCCTTTTATCCTCATTAGGAAAGGAGCGGCGAGCCGTAGAGGGGGTGTCCAAGTGAAGTGAACCCGTCCGGGTCAGAGGTTGTCATCACGCCGGCCTCGGGGGCAGCAGCAGCAAGCCAAGCCAAGCCTCTCTCTGATGTCGATGGCTGATGGTGGAAGTCTTCTCCGGCAGGGGGCAGCCGAGACCGGGAGAAGGGCGGACTCGACACGGCCCCCTCGACTGCGTTGCCCGTGGGAGGAGATCCGCGTTCATTTGGCCACAGTTTCCCGAGGACACAGCGACAATCTCTGCCACGATTATATTCTTGCTCGTGGCGATATGTTTCAGGAGCTCGATGCCAAATGCCAAGGTCTGCTAGCCACGGCGAGAGATTGCTTTCAGGAGATGGTGGAATTTTACTCGGCAGCCTCCGTTGATTACAGTCTGGTTTGGGTTGGCATGGCCACGATCGCGCGAATGTGGCTCGCCTTCAATGCATCTCTGTGCATGTGTATGAGTCTATATGCGTAGCTCAGGGTTTACGATACGGTCCGTATAGTTTGGGTTGGCATGGCCACAATGGCATGCACGTGGCTCGTCTTCGTTTCAAGTTAAGGATTTTAAGATGTTCCGATGCGAGTGCTGGCTACACGACTCCCAGTGCCCATTAGGAGACATTTCAAAGCGAGCGGGCCCGATGATGATGATGTTTGGGTCTCGAACGAGGTGTTTAATTCTGCACTCCCGCGTTGTCCCACCGTTCGCCAGCGTTCTTCCGGATCTGAGTGATATCCTAGGATGGTTACTCACCTCTTACATACTCCCAAATACCGACACAGCTACCATCGACATGCAGTGTATAACACACAGATAGGTATGGGCTCTGTGGTGGTGGAGCATTACGTGTAATGTACAACTTTTTCGATTTAAAGCTTTCGTGACTGCGAGGATTCATCTTCTTTGGTTCTTTCGGTAAAGTCACGTAGAATGAGAATAAAATAATAAAATAATAAAATAAATCAGTTTCAATGCTAAATTCTCCTGTTTGATATGTAAACCCCTTTGTCAAGGTGCCTCACTTCTCTCAACCAGCTTAAAAGACGCTGCGAATCTTAACAACGTTCATGGTAGCTCTGTCGTCCCGACAGGTCTGTTCCTTTCACCCGAAGAAAGGCCACTTGTGTTGTGGCCGAAACGTCGTGAGAATTTTATTGTTTTATTTTATTCTCATTCTACGTGACTTTACCGAAAGAACCAAAGAATATACAACTTACACTTTGGTTCTTTCGGTAAAATCACGTAGAATGAAAATAAATTAAATAATAGAATACGACGTTTCGATTGCAACACAGGCAGTCGTCATCAGGTAGAACTACATTTGAGAGAGAGAGACAAAACACAGACACGGAGACACACAGAGACATGTTGTGTGTCTGTGTGTCTCTGTGTTGTCTCTGTCTGCTTGTGTGTCTGTGTGTCTCCGTGTCTGCATTTTGTCTCTCTCAAATTTAGTTCAAACCTGATGACGACTGCTTGTGTTGCAATCGAAACGTCGTATTCTATTATTGAATTTATTTTCTTTCTACGTGACTTTACCTAAAGAACCAACGAGTAATTCCTGCAGTCACGAAAGCTTCAAATCAAGTTTTAATATACAACTTGTTTCGCTCTTTTTTCAATCGACCGCTGGATAAGCTCCTCTCCGTGCCTGTTTATAGGGTCGTGAATGTTATTTCACCATACTTCACCAACGCTGGGCACTGCACGTTGGTGAAGCTGAGGAGCAAAGACGTCAGATTACAGAAGTACTGTGCAGTACAACATTTTAATTTTACCGCACTGCCCTCGGCTGTCCACAACGTGACCCAAAAAGCCCTGTGACAACATGTTTGTGCATGCCCAGTAAACCACGTTGGCCCAACGTTGGCCCAACAGCGTGAAAGATTGGGTCCAAATAACTTTGAAGAGCTCCCTCCACGTGACGGCCCTTCTTGCCATGCAGCAGCGCCGTGTGCGCGAGCAATTGCAGGGGCTGCCCCTTTATATGTGCGTTTGCAATGGACGAGAGTGAACGATGCGATCAATTCCACCCCGGCCACTGCTTGGTGTAAGAGAGCACTCACCAGCCGCTGCCGAACCCAATCACTCCGTTAGACAACTCAATCCGCCCCGTCGATTAATATTTCATGCCCCCGCTACTATGAGACTTTCCGAGAGATACGTTAACCCGCATTTCAGCAGCGCGAGTCGCTCGCGTGCGGCGCTCTGTTTATTTTAGCAATTAGCGATTACGTTACACGCTGCTTTGTGTAATTGCTCTTGTGTAATTTTAATAACGCGCAATCCCCTCGTTGTGTGGCGCCGGATTACGAAGCAGTGCCACTGCGAGTTGTGCGCGGCACTCGTGCTCTGAAGGGCACGAAGGCAATCCGCGATGCTGCCAACAGCGGTGTTGCTTGGATGAACTCGGCGTCCGTACACTAACGCGAGTGAAACCAGATGCAGCGCTGCCCGTTCTCTTCTTTAGTCCTCTAGCCCCAATGACAGACCCTTCCTTGGCTCTGTCCCCCTCCGTGTGTGAACACAAAATTCGCACGCGTCCTGAAATGTATCGCACATTCTGGTCTATTCTTGCGCCTGGCGGCAGTGGGTTCAGGAGGTAAATGCCAATGTCGTGGTCTGATAGCCACGGAGAGGGCTTCAGAAGAGAATCCGTACAGTGTTGCTATTGCTCCTCTGTCGAGACATTCAGATAAGTGCGCGGAGGCTAGAAACGAATATCAAAAACCGTATCTTGAACTTTATTCTCCTATTCATCTTTTGCCTCCAGCTTCCTTTAAAGCGTCAAACGGAATCTCTCTTGCTCTGCCTCTGGGGTCTCTTTCCCAACGTCCTTATTTCCAGAACTTCCTTCAATAAGCTATGACCGAGGAGACTTTTCCCAATCCATGTATTTAGCATTTTATGGATTCCTCTGATCAAAATAATTTCCTCCTGAACTTGCGATTGAAATCCCTCATTCGCACCCACGTGTTTAACTCTCAACATAGCAGTCAACATTACAGATCATTGGTCTCAGGCCCAAGCTTTATGTGTGGGCGACCTCACGGCAACTGCCCAGGCGGCAAAGCTGCGAAGGACGCCGGAAATTTATGCAGATTATACAGAATACCTCATAATTATTGTCCAATTGTATGGAGGCGTCATAAAGCGTACCTGTGATGGGTAGTACACATGAGTCACCTGAAGGACACGCATTGTCAAAAAGCGACAGGGTTATTATCGCAGGATTACGTTCAAAAGGTGCTAATTTTTTTTTCATTATGTTAAGAGAGGTTCTAATCACAGCCACTCTATTATGATCCGTCTACTGCTGGCTTCTCTGCTACCGCTACTGTCAGTCTCGTTGTTAGAGGCACCATGAGGACAGAGGAATTTTGATTATGTGATTAAAAAAATCTGAGAAATATAGTTATGTGTACACGAGGAAAGGCCGTACCAAGATTTATTTTATTCTGACGTAAACATTTAGATTGGGACTGAGCCTTAAGTGGGGAGTGGGAGGTGGGGTAGCCATCTCCAGCCCCCCCCCATCCCCCGATGCTATCGGGCTAATGTGATGTCACAAAACAAGCTGAGATGTCACAGTGCAGCGAGCATGTGATATAACCATGCACAGAGCGTGAAATGGTGTCACAATGCAGAACACTGTGATGTGACAGTGTACCGAGCACGCTGTGATATCAGAGGGCACAGAGAAAATGTAAATATTGTATCAACATTTTTTACTTGCCAATAAGAATTGAGAAAGGGTGGCTGAACCTTCATCGGGAGGTGGGGGGGGGGGGGGTCAGAGGGGGGAGGAGGTTAGCTACCCCCCCTCCTCCTGACGCTTCGGGGCTGCTCAGCCCACCACCAATGACGAGTGTGCGCATATATGCATATGTTTCCAGACCTTATGGCCTGTGGATTGCTGATGCTGGTTAATGGCATTTTACGCATTTATGCTTAGTATTGACCAAGCGTCGGCCCGTTGTGCAGTAGGCTCCGCTATATCCTGGCGAAAAAAATGCATTACATTGATTCATCACAGCCGGATTGCAGAATGCATTAAGCATTCCCATTAATAACGCACGCGAGGAACGTTTAAGGCGCGGTCCATTACGTAATGCGATAATATCGAAAGAATATAATTAATACTGCACTAACGAAATATAAAATTTAAAGAGGGAACAAGCCAATGGTTTGGAGTAGGTGGATCGCTTCAGCTAGCTAAGGTTCACTTTAGAAAATAACATAATAATAAGAATGTTGGTGATAAAGATGATCAGTGTGTTCGATATTGATAATTCAGCATGTCTCTCGGCGCAACTGACGTCCATTAACACCTACTTTAAATACAGGATATTGAAGCTGAGAATTCCAAGTCAGCATGTCTGATATCCTGGGATCAAGCCTCCAATTACTACTTACTCAAGAAAATGCGTTCCCATGCGCAGCGCTCGTGGTCTATACTTCATCTAACAATTATTGCAGCACTCACCCTCACGCACACACGTCTAAATACAAAGACACTCTCACACACACACGCACACACACACTCTCACACAAAGGCATAGACCCCCCGTGTAGCCTTAACATATTATAGGAGCAAGTGCTGTTAGCGAGCGGCTATGAAGGCCGGCACGGCACACGAAGGGGGTCGGTGGCCAGCACCACGCCCGGCCTCCTTTATCTCCTTAGTGGCGACGTTAACACACCGTACCAGGTACTCATTGGAGGCTTAGTCGACAAAGGCACGTTGCACACACAAAGTGGCGTCGCATGGTAGGCATGGCCCCCTCGTGCAAGGAATTAAATGGGAGCCACTGTCCAATGTTCACCTCCTGTTCGTGGTCTGGCGCCTGGGCCCCTCTGGCCTCTGGGCCCCCGTGCAGTTGCACCGCCTGCACACGCGATAGCCACCGTGAACACGCAGCGGTGACGCGGCCCAGCAGTAGCACGTTCGCCGCTTGTTGCAGAGGTTCACGGTTCAAATTCAGGAAAGTATGGTCAGCACGGCATGGGGTTTGACAAATCAC